CCATGCTGATGACACAGTTGTTTATTGTTGAGCTAAAACAGTTGCTAAGGCTCTCCAGCTGTTGCAATCTGCATTTAACATCATCCAGTCTGATTTGTTCCATCTCAAACTTGTCCTAAATGCCGACAAAACCAAAGGGATGCTTTCTTCATACAGGAAGCCAGTCCCAGCAGTTCTTCCTCTGATTTTATCCTTTAATGGTGTCCCTATGGGCAACTGGCCCAGGCAACATCCCCGGAAAAGTGTTGAAAGAATGTGCCGATCAGCTCTGCGAGGTGCTGGCAGACATCTTTAACACCTCACTTACCCTGGAGACAGTTCCCATCTGTCTGAAGACTGCCACCATCATCCCAGTCCCAAAAAGCTCTACAGTGTCTGGTCTGAATGACTATCGGCCAGTGGCCCTCACCCCGATAGTCGCTAAATGCTTCGAAAAACTGGTCATGACTCACATCAAAACAACCATCAGCATCAACGAGGACCCTCATCAGTATGCATACCGTGAGAACCAATTAACAGAGGATGCCATCTCCTCTGTGGTCCACACTGTGCTCAACCACCTGGAGCAGAAAAACTCTTATGTCCATATGCTCTTTGTGGACTTCACATCTGCCTTCAACACCATGATCCCCAAACCCTGATGGACAAACAATACACACACGGACTAAGCCCCTCCATTTGCAACTGGTTACTAGACTTCTTAACAAATAGACCACAGTTACTGAGGATCTGCAACTTCTCCTCCTCCACCATAACTCTCAGCACTGGCTCTCCTCAGGGATGTGTGTTGAGCCCCCTCCTGTTTACTCTGCTCACGAATGATTGTGCAACTACCCATCCAGGCTGTCACATTGTAAAGTTTGCAGATGATACAGCGGTGGTGGGATGCACCACAAATAATGAGTCCAGCTACAGGCAAGAGGTGGAATACCTGGAGAGCTGGTGCAAAGAGAATAACCTTCACATAAATGTGAAGAAGACAAAGGTGATGATTGTGGACTTCAGAAGGAACAACCCCCCACCCCCACCCCCCGAACATAAGAGGATCTGCAGTGGAAGTGGTCTCCAGCTACAAGTGCTTGGGTGTACACATGAATGACAACCTCAGCTGGAGCAACAACACCACCAGCCTGATCAAGAAAGCTCATCAGAGACTCTACTTCCTCAGACGGCTGAGACGAGCTGGTCTGGGAAGCTCAGTCCTCACCTCCTTCTACAGGTGTGCAATGGAGCATCCTGTGCTCCAGCATCAATGTGTGGCATGGAGGCTGCACAGCTGCAGAAAGAAAAGCTTTGCAGAGAGTGGTGAAGGCTGCACAGAAGACTGTTGGAGTCAGCCTCCCCACCATCACAGACATCTACACCTCAAGATGCAGGAAGAAGGCCACCTGCATCATGAAGGACTCCACTCACCCAGCACACACACTTTTTGCCTCGCTCCCCTCAGGAAGGAGGTTGAGGAGCATTAAGTGTAGAACCACTAGACTGAGGAACAGCTTCTACCCTGAGGCTGTAAGACTCATGAATCTCTAACCAGAATAATCAATGTGAAAAATCACATCATGTTGCTGCTGATCTGTTTCAATGTTGATGTGTTCATGCGTGCTCATCTGCTCATAGACTCATGTTCATGTTTGTGCTGATGTTTGACGTAATGTTTTAATGTTATTAGTGCTTATTGTATATTTAGTTGATGTTTTTCTTAGTTCATATCTTAGATGTTATCATTGTTTTTCTTTTACATTTTATTGTTGGATGTAACCGGGACCCTGTGTACATAATTTCGCTCCACCACATGTACCACATGAGGTGCGAATGACAATAAAGAATCTTTGACTCTGACTATCGAGTTTGTCTATTCCTATAAATATTTGAGTATCTTGGTCTACTCACATCTCTCTTTTAAGCTTCACGTGGAAAACTTGGTAAAGAAACTGAAAGTTAAACTGTGTTTCTTTTTCAGAAACAGATCCTGTCTAACTCTGAATGCTATGAAACGCCTTGTATCTGTGACTTTCCTTCCCTCCATTGACTACGGTGACATTATCTATATGAACGCTCCTGCACCCTGCAAATGTTGATTGCTGTCTATCATGGTGCGCTAAGATTAATAACTGGATGTAACTACCATACCCACCACTGCACCCTGTATTCACTGGTTAATTGGTCATCGTTAACTTCACGCAGACTCTCTCACTGGTACATTTTCATCTTTAAATCACTTCTTGGTTTGCTGCCTTCATACATCTCCTCCTACATGTCTCTGCGTGAGTGCAGCTACAGCGTGCGCTCTCAGGACATTATTACCTGCAGTGTTCCCTCAGTGAGAACTGAACTAGGCAAAAGGTTCTTCTCCTACTCCGCTCCTGTTTCCTGGAATATCTTGCAAAAATATATGATGTTCTCGACCTTGACCTCTCTAAGTGGCTTTAAACATCTGTTAAGTTCCTGGCAAGAACCAATGCAGATATGTTTCATTTTTGTTTGTTTTGTACACCGCCTCGTAATCTAGCTGTTTTTTTCGCTACTTTTCCTTTTTAATTATCCTTTTAATTACCATTTTATTTTCATTTGTAAAAAAAAAAAAATTGTATGCATCCTTTGTGGTTGTCCACTGTTGTCATCACTCTTTGTTAAAATTCAGGTTTCTCTTGTAAACGAGTCCTTGTGGCTCAATGGGATGAACCTGTGTTCTATGAAATTATCTTAAACATTTTATTAAACTCTCAACTCAACCTGTTAAAATAAAGGTTGAATGAAAGATAAGATAAGGTAAGGTAAGGTAAGATAAGATAAGATAAGGTAAGGTAAGATAAGGTAAGATAAGATAAGATAAGATAAGATAAGATAAGATAAGATAAGATAAGATAAGATAAGATAAGATAAGATAAGATAAGATAAGAGGCATCACGGTGGTGCAACTAGTAGAACTGCTGCCTCTCAGCAAGCAGGTCCCCGGTTCAAATCCCGGTCCGGGTGCCTTTCTGGGTGGAGTTTGCATGTTCTCTCTGTGCATGCGTGGGTTTTCTCCGGGTGCTCCGGTTTCCTCCCACAGACCAAAAACATACATGTTAGGCTGTTGGTAACTCTAAATTGTCTCTAGGTGTGAGTGAGAGAATGAATGGTTGTTTGTCTCATTTGTCTCTATGTGTCCCTGTGATGGACTTGCGACCCGTCCAGGGTGTACCCCGCCCCTCGCACAGTGATTGCTGGACATGGGCACCGGTGACCCCCGTGACCCAAAATGGAAAAAGCGAGTAAAAGATAATGGATGGATGAGATGAGATGAGATGAGACTTTATTATTCCGAATGAAATTCGAAGTTGCCGGCTACTTCAAGTCACACAGCACAAAATTAGAAAAAGCAATACCAGCGTATCAGAGAATAACACAGTAAGGAAGTAATAAAAAAGTGGTAAACAACATAACATGATTTAAAAACAAGAAGTAAAAGAAAAAAGTTGTGACTTGTAAATAAATCTAAATAAGTAAAAAAAAAAAAAGAAAGTTCATTCATGTCTTTACCGATGCTTAAAGAAAGTAATCGGCATCTCCATCACAGGACAGACGTCCCCATCACTGGACAGTTGTCTCAATCAGAAGACAGATATCTCCATCACAGGACAGTTGTCTCCATCACAGGACAGTTGTCTCCATCAGGAGATAGATATCTCCATCACAGGGCAGGTGTCTCCATCACTGGACAGACATCACCATCACAGGACAGAAGTCACTATATCACAGGACAAACGTCTTCACCAATAAACAGATGTCTCCATCACAGGATGGACGTCTCCATATCACAGGACAGATGTCTCCATCACAGGATGGACGTTTCCATATCACAGGACAGATGTCTCCATCACAGGATGGACGTTTCCTTATCACAGGACAGATATCTCCATCACAGAACAGAAGTCACTGTCTCACAGGACAAACATCTTCACCAAAAGACAGAAGTCTCATCACAGGACAGATATCTCCATCACAGGACAGACATCTCCATCACAGAATGGATATCTCCATCACAGGACAGAAGTCACTGTATCACAGGACAAACATCTTCACCAAAAGACAGAAGTCTCATAACAGGACAGATGTCTCCATATTACAGGACAGATAACTCCATCACAGAACAGAAGTCACTATCTCACAGGACAAATGTCTTCACCAAAAGACAGAAGTCTCATCACAGGACAGATATCTCCATCACAGGACAGACATCTCCATCACAGGACAGACATCTCCATCACAAGACCGGTGTCTCCATCACAAGACAGAAGTCACTGTATCACAGGACAAACATCTTCACCAAAAGACAGAAGTCTCATAACAGGACAGATGTCTCCATATCACAGGACAGACATCTCCATCACAGGACAGACATCTCCATCACAGGACAGACGTCTCCATCGCAGGACAGATGTCTCCATCACAGGACAGATGTCTCCATCACAGGACAGACATCTCCATCACAGGACAGACGTCTCCATCGCAGGACAGATGTCTCCATCACAGGACAGATGTCTCCATCACAGGACAGACATCTCCATCACAGGACAGACATCTCCATCGCAGGACAGATGTCTCCATCACAGGACAGAGGTCTCCATCACAGGACAGATGTCTCCATCACAGGACAGATGTCTCTATATCACAGGACAGAAGTCCACAGTATTATATACTGTATTTTTAATGTGTCCCAAAACGTATAAAACTTTTATTTACCTCTGATTTGTTTGTGATTATTTTTCATGCCCCAACAAGGATTAGATTCTAACACTTGATGAAATAGTTTCATGTTCTCCCCTCTCTCAGAGCGCTGGAGACGCTGGACGGCAGCTTTTACGCATGATCTCCCTGACAACGCTCGGCTCCCTGCTGGAGGACAGATGGATGTGACGGAGGAGCGCATCAGCAGCATTGCATTTAGACATCCCTCCGCTCCATGAGGAGATTGTTTCTGCTCTCCTTGCACCTCTGCTTGCTCATCTTTTCCAATGGACCTTTACGCCTCGGCGCTGTCCCCGGCACTGGACATCGGAACTGGCTGCTACCTGCTGGTTTTAAGTAAGTCCAAAGATGTGCGGGAAGGAGGAGAGAAAACGCTCCTTGTTTGTTTCCTCTGAGTTGATTTGTATTTTTAAAACTAGACTTGGAGACCTGAAAACAAATATACCTATTTTTAGGACAAATATATGAGTTCAAAGGTGATGCATATATGATTAAAAATATTTCTGTGCATGCCTGTTTAAGTCTTGGTTTGGACCTGGTGATGAAAAGCTTAGAGGCAATTCCTGTTCCTTCAATTACTGGGTTTTTTTGTTGTTGTTTTTTTTACGTTAAGACTTGTTTGTAGGGTTAAGTCAAATTAAATTTGATTTAAGAGACTAAAATTAATGTGAAAATGTGTCTCATACTTAGGGATAATTTTTATAACCCAATAAGCAGACCTCCAAAATATTGGAGAGTTTTATTGGAGCTCCTGACAGTTTCATACTGCAGTAAAATCATTTCACAGATTTACATTTAGAAATGGCTGTTGGACTTTGTAAGAAAATTAAATAAAATAATTTAAAAAAAAACTAAAATGCTCTGGAATTTGTTGAATTTAGCTATAATGAACCATGTTTTGGTTGATGATTTAGTGAGTTTTTGAAGAAGCACTGTAAGGAGTGTTCATCAAATCATTATATGTCTGTTCAATAATTTTATACTTAAACATTTTCAAAAGATATAAATGTTTTTGTAATTATAAGAGATTGTTGGCAGGTTGCCTCCTGGACCTTATGTCACTCTGTAAATGGATTACTCTCCGCTACTGCCTCGTCAAATTGTAGCTCAGTATTTGTAAAACCAAGTTAATACTATTTTTTGTGTTTGCTAAGGCAGGGGTGCCACCCAGGGGTGAGTGTTGGGGCCAATGGCCACCCTTAAAAAAATATTGGGCCATCCTACTGGCCCCGTTCAGGTATCCTCATGAGATTTTGCTTGTTGTATATTTTTAATATCCCTTACGTTATTTCAGGTTATGAAAACGTCATAAAAACAAACACCAATCAACTCAAAACCAAATTTCTAAAGTATTTCAAATTAAAAATAAAACTTTAAATCAAGTCCCCCTGAATAAGGACAACCAGTCTAAAACCAGTGTCCTAAACATTAGGATGTAGACTTTCAGGAAGTTAAAATTATAACTTTTTTTTCTGTTATAAATTTATAAATGGACGAGCTTCAAAAAGTTGAGTAGTACCAGTGCTTTTCTCAAATCTTGATGATTGTCCAGTGTTTAACAAGGGAACAGACAAATAAATCTTTATCAACACTTATATGGTATGAAAAAGGAAAAAAAAGTAAAGTTTTAGTTTAGGATAATACTATATTAATGTGTACATTGTTGTGTTTTTTCTGTCCGTTATTTCCCAGTTTGGGACATTTATACCACATTTTTGTTCACAAATTTACACCGCAACAAGCTAATTAAAATTTGTTTTAAATAATTAAAAGAATGGTGGGTTTAAGCTTTAAAAAACATAATTCAAGTAAATGTTTTGTTCAATGTACACCTAATGAAATATATACATTTGACTTTTTTAGAGAAAAGGACAAAAAGCTTAATAATTTATAGCGATATATATGCATGTAAAGATACACGACATATAAAAACTGGACTGCTGTGGAACTCATATGTTCTCTCTTCTGGTTTCTGCACATCAATTCAGTTCAGTTTATTTATATAGAACCAAGTCACAACAGAAGTCATCTCACATGTCACATGTCATATCACAGAAATATCACCTGAAGATAACAGTTGGCAGTTTCTTAACTCTCAAACTGACAAAGTTTTAAAACTGCTGTTTTACACGTTCAAGTTCAAGTAGGTTTTATAGTCATTCACATCACATATGGTACATGAGGTGGAATGAAATTGTGTACACAGGGTCCCATCCAACAATAGCAAAAATATAAATTGTAAAAAGAAACAGTAAACAAGGATCTAAGTTATAAATTAAGAAATACGCTAAACACTAATAGTGCAAAACAATATAATGAACAACAGCAGCACGAGCATGAGTCTGTGTGAGTAGATGAGTATGAATGAACACAGCAGCATGAAATAATTAGCAGCATGAAATAATCAACAGCATGAAATAATCAGCAGCATGAAATAAACAGCACACATCACCAATCAAAGTAGCATTACAGTGATTTTTCTTTTTTTCCATCACAGTGGTTATTCTGGTCAGGGATTCATGAGTCTAACAGCCTCAGGGTAGAAGCTGTTCCTCAGTCTAGTGGTTCTACACTTAATGCTCCTCAACCTCCTTCCTGAGGGGAGCGGG